ATGTGACCCTGGACCACAAAACCAGTCTTAAGTGTCAATTTTTCAAAATTGAGATGTATACATCATCTGAAAGCTGAATGAATAAGCTTTCCATTGATTTATGGTTTGGCTGAGATACAACTATGTGAAAATCTGGAATCTGAGGGTGCAAAAAAATCTAAATATTGAGAAAATTGCCTTTAAAGTCCAAATGAAGTCCTTAGCGATGCATATTACCAATCAAAAATTAAGTTTTGATATATTTACGTTAGGACATTTACTAAATATCTTCATGGAACATGATCTTTACTTAATATCCTAATGATTTTTGGCATTAAAGAAAAATCTATAATTTTGACCCATGCAATGTATTTTTGGCTATTGCTACAAATATACCTGTGCTGCCAACTTATGACTGGTTTTGTGCTCCAGGTCCAGGGTCACAAATAACAATATGAATTACAGCAGGTTATGGGTGAGTTTGTACCTGTACTCGGGCTCGGACCACGTCCATGGGGTTGGTGAGGGTGGAGGCTGTAGCTGCAGCCATCGGTCCCGCCACGGCCTGCAGGAGGAGGTGCGGACAGTCCACTGGAGCCAGTCTGGAGAGCTGCTCTGCAAAGAGAGAGAGAGAGAGAGAGAGAACTTTATTGTCACTGTACATGTACAGTGAAACTCTGGTGGAGGTGCCTTCTGCACACACATAATCTGCACACACATATTATACACTAAAGACTACCATTAAATATACATAATACACTATACAATCCAATACACTATACACAATGCAATATACAATATACACAATATGCTATACAACACAGTACACAGAGGACACATAACATAAGACAACAGATGTGCATAAATGTAAACGTGTGCAAAAAATAAACATGATTTATTTTATTTTACATTAACATTATTGCAATTAAGCAGGAAGTGCTGAGGTAGTGTAGTTGACATCTTGCCCATGATAAATGAGATTTTACACAATGAAATACAGCACAGTAAGGTGACTCAAGGAAGTATGTGGGGAAGTGATTGAGGTCTCTAGGTCCATGTGGAAGGTGGGGTGTTCAATAGAGCGACTGCTCTGAGGTAAAAACTGTGGAAACACATGAGCCCACGGGATTTATGTTACAAAGTAAGAGCGTTTATCAAGTAACATTTCAGTTCACCAAAACTTCGGCAACCGAAAATATATTGGAGAACCGAAATCACTGGTCGATACCATGGTTTAATTAGCGCTTCTCCACAGGCGCGTTTTGACTGTCTTGTTTGTGCTTTGTTACTAGTGTCAATATGAAACTGAGTTTTCAAATTCTGTCAATCTTATCATAAAATTCAAACAACAAATGGCGTTTTGCCACACTTTAATGTGGCGTCACAGACCCACGGAACGTGAATCCGCCATCGCTTCCTCTTTTTGATCATTAAAGTATGAAAAATAAACATGAATGAACATCAGAGATTATATTGAAAGAAAGAGTTTAATTTACTGAAATATGAAAAATATATCAATCAGTGTTTTTAAAGTGTTTTTTTTACCGCTTAAAGACGTCAATAGCTTGTAAACAACGTAACGGTACATTTACCTCAGGAAAGCCATTCAATGTCCATAAACTCGACAGTCAGCTAGAAAAAAAGTCATCTGGAGATGAGCATCGTCCTAAATATATGCATTATAATACATACTGGATATTAAATTTTTAATATATATTTTACCTAACTTGCAGTCGTCATTATTTAATGTATGTTTGAATAGTAAATAGATTTTATTATATAATATATATTTTATTACCTTTCAAAGATACTGATTTTCAATATTAAACATTAAACAATAGCCGACTGAATATTACAAATTCAGGATATATTTTACTTAACCCGTTTTCAGAGTTTGAATAAATCTGTTATGAATGTTTTTATGACAGATGTTTAAATGTTTATATTTCAACAATGAACTGGATAATTGTATCATTAAAAAGTTCGTATAAAAATTTAACATCAACTTGTTCATGTTGTTCGTTCTTTTTAGTATTAAAAATGTGTTCTTATCATGGCTGGTTATTTTTTAAATGTTTATAATGGTTATTTTTTATATGTTTTTAAAGACAACTCTTATTTAAGTGCTGATTCTTAAATTAATTGTATTAATTCATTGATTATTAATTACACTTTCTTTTCAATTAGGTTTTCAGCTAAATTAATGCTTTAATATCAGTTTTGGTGTTGGGATCCAATTTTTTCTCCATCACTATATATGTGACTCTGGAGCACAAAACCAGTCATAAGCAGCATGGGTATATTTGTAACAATATCCAACAATACATTGTATGGGTCAAAATTATCGATATTTCTTTTATGCCAAAAATCATTAGGATAATAAATAAAGATCATGTTCCATGAAGACATTTTGTAGAATTGCCTACCGTAAATATATCAAAATTTAATTTTTGATTAGTAATATGCATTGCTAAAGTCTTAATTCGGACAACATTAACGGCGATTTTCTCAATATTTAGATTTTTTTGCACCCTCAGATTCCAGATTTTCAAATAGTTGTATCTCGGCCAAATATTGTCCTATCCTAACAAACCATATATCAATGGAAAGCTTATTTATTCAGCAATTTCAAACAAATTGACCCTTGTGACTGGTTTTGTGCTCCAGGGTCACATATTTTCTTTACCTGCATAAAAGTGATAAAACGGCCACCAGACGGCACTGTTGGGTATGTAGGTGAGGAGCGACGCCACATATCCACGATAAAAGCCCCGAAATCCATCCGCGTGAAAAATCTGCACCACAATGTCTCTGGTCTGGCCAAACGTCACTTTGTGCTTGGACGTGGCCATCACCATCTTGGACTTGAGTTTGAAGCGTGTGAGCTGACACCCCTGACCCTGCACCATCAGCTGCTGGGACACCACGTCGATGGGCACCGTGATGCTTTGGGCCACCAGTGAGGCCACGCCGCCCGCCACCAGAGACTTGACCGTGTTACTGGACGAGTAACAGGACACGTGTTTCCTCACCAGCTCGTAGGTAGTGATGTAGGCCTGACCTGAGATCAGCGTGAACGTGTTGACCATGAACCCTCGGTAAAGGCCACGCGTCCCCTCAGCCTTCAGAATCTTCCAGAAGGCGTCGAAGGTGCCGTTATAGAGCGACTTCCCCTTCTGGACCTGCAGTCTGGTGCGGATCAGGGTGAACGGGTAGACGGCGGCGCGTGTGGTCATGGTCATGAAGACGCCCAGAGAGTAGAACTTCCTCTTGTCCAGATCCTCCCACTCGATGATCTGAATGTTGCGCTTCTGTTGCATCATTGTGGCCGATGACCTCACACACAAAATCACGTGCACACACACTCGCTCCGCTCCCGCTCGACCTGAAATGACAAAATCACAACAGTTCAAATAAAACTGCAGATCTGAAGGTACAGCGTTCAAAGGACATGTGACTGCAGGGTTATGCCATAATCATATGCTCTGCAGAGATAATTTCTTGACACGTGTAAACACAAAAGCAGATATTGAACATCTGAAATCTATGAAATATGCACATTTTTATTACAATCTTTATTTTATTTATTTTTGTTAAATGAAGGTTTGCTATATGAATGAACCTTTCAAATGCAGTTTATGTATAGATTGTATTGCTTAACACTTGTCCATGACCAAGATTTTCAATCTTAAACATTAAACAGTCAACTTTAATGGGATGAAAATATATTCATTTTTAATAATTATATTATTTAGTAATATAAATGTATTGATTTCTGTTACAGTGAAGATGAACAAGTTTACTGTGAGCAGTCTGAGCACAAAACAAAATAAAAATAAAAAAAGTAAAAAAAAAAAGTGTTAATAAAAAGTAAAATAAAGCAACATCCATCATAAAAATATACTAAATAAAAATAATTACATTTTATAATGTAAATCTAAATGTAATGTAAATCTCTAATTCTAAAAATGCCACACATTCTCCAGGATTATACCTGTCAAAATAATAATAATAGTAAAAATAATTGTAATAAATGTTTGTTTTTAAATTATATCTTTATTGTTCCAAAGTAAACATTCAAAATCATATTTATAGCATCACATTTGGAATGAATTAACCAGAATAATAGGGCTTGGCAAAATTGCATTAGATTATAAATTAAATACCACCAACCATTTAAAAAATAAAACACAGTTTTATTCACAAAATGAATGTAGTGCTTATATGAAGCATTGCATATTTGTTACCAATAACAACACGTAAATCAGAATGTTTCTAAAATCTTAATTTTTATATTAATTTCTAAATCACTAAAATGCCATACTTTGCACAGAATTATACTTCTTGAAATATAAATTACTAGAATACCACGCATTCCTCAGGATTATACCTGTCAGAATTAAAACTAAAGTTTTTAATAAATATTTATTTTTAAATTATACCTCTGTTGTGCCAAAGTAAACTTTAAAGAGGAGACAATTATTATTATATTATATATTATATAATATAATTATTTATAATTATAATATAATATAATTATAACATCATATTTAGAATTAACCTGCTGACAAAACCTGTTTAAAACTATGTTTATAACAACTGGGATTTAGTCAATGGAAGAATTGCATTAGAGTAGAAATTGCTGTTACTGAATTTTGAGGGACCACACTACCTTGATGCAGCTCTTTTCATATTTGACATGCATGACTATAAATAGCCAGTGACAGATGTAACAGACACTCTTTCTTCTGTCCTCCATTAGTTATTTGGCTCTGACACAGAGCTGAATGTTTATCAGTCATTGTGACCTTTTCATGGTGAAGCTGTATGGTATCTACTGCACATGCGCATTACACAAGACAATATACCGCCAGACACCCCCTGAAGCAAACAGCAGCTTCTGTTGTGTCCCTCCCCTCACCCAGCAGATGTACAGGACACTTCATTTGACCTCTCAGACACACGCTAACTCACCCGGTTAGCTCGCCATGTTTGCTGTTTCTCCGTCCAGCGGCCTCAAGCGGAGCTGTGCGGTCCTGTCATGAGAGAAACCCGCTATTATTCCTCTATAAACCGCATTTTTTCTGATCGATTCGCAGCCTGCAGCTCCTGATAGAAAGTCATGCCGATCGAGTCGAGCCCGAGTCCTCCTCCACACTTCCGGCGCATGCTCTAGCGTCACTGACCGCTGCTGCCTGTTGATCGGTCAGTCACACAGGAGGAGCTGTTTGATGATTGGGCGGTGATGTGTGCCATACAAGTTGTTATTTATTTATTTATTTATCTATACATGAACAAAATCAATAGAAATGTTTTTTTATTATTACAATGAACAACATGCATAAGTTTACATGATTTAATTACGATCCGGCACATTTATTATTATTATTTTGTAATTTTGTATTGTACGTTTTATATGTAATAAATACAACATAGATAAATATTATATATAAACTTTAACAATATTATCTAATATTACTTTAAATGTAATATAACACCATTATATAATGTTATGTAAAATATTATATTATATATTTATTATATATTTATATAACTAATATATATATATAATATTACTTTAAATGTAATATAACACCATTATATAATGTTATGTAAAATATTATATTATATATTCATTATATATTTATATAACTAATATATATATATATATATATATACACACAATAAGATACACTTTACAAGTAAAAAGTGTTGCAGCATTATTGCTTAAAATAATTTATGAAATGTACATGTAGACAGGCATTTCTGTGAACTTATTTTTCATTTTTATATGCATATAAACATAAACAAGAAAAATGGTGCAATTTTGTTGCAGTTAACAATATGAACGAGTTTACATTGTTTTAACAATAAAATAAAATCAATTAAAAATAAAATGGTTCAACAAAAAAGTAAGATACATTTAAAAAATAAAAAGGTGTTAATAAAACAACACAAAAGAAGAAAAATCGCTACTTTCTTATTTAGATAAAAATCACACATACAAAACACCAAACGTTTGAAAAAATATTGCTTGAAATAATTTCTGAAACGAAATAGACTAAATGGTTTGTATTTATAGTAATGTATGAATATTAATGTTTACACACGCGCGCGCGCACACACACACACTTAAAAATTATAAATAAAAATACATTTGATGTCTTCAGACATTTACACTAGTAAATACTGTCGATATAAAGTATTTAACATTATTAATATAGATAGGATCATTTAAAAAAATAGATAATCTCTCTATCCACTTTGATATCCATTATATTAAGATTTGTTGATAAACCAAAGTGATGAAAAATTGTGTTTAGAACTACAGTAACATCTGATTTCTCTCAACATGGGGACAGGAGAGCTGTCAATCAATAAATTGAAAAAAAAAAAGTAACTTGCGTTACTTATTATAAAAAAGTAACTCAAATATTCTCTTGTAAATTAAAAAGTAATGCGCTACTTTACTAGTTACTTGAAAAAAGTAATCTGATTACGTAACTCGCGTTACTTGTAATGCGCTACCCCCAGTCTATGCCCCCAACACTGTGTAGGAGATACTATTTGTTGATTGGACGACGCTGTGCGAGATCCTGTACTCTGATTGGACAGTCCTCCAGGGAGGTACTGTTTGCTGATTGGCTAGCTGTCGTGGCTCGAGCGAGTGGAGTCGTGTTAATATTAGGAGTCATCATGGCGCTCGATTCGCCTCAATACGGTAAGGGCTGTTTTTACTGACAAAAATAACAACATTCATCTCATTTACGCTCTGATAGAGGTGTATATAACCGGTTATATGCGAAGTCACAATTGTGTGTTAAAACAGCCCTTAAATAAGCACTTTTAGAAGGAAGAAAGAGGCGGTTTTGTCGTTAGCAGTGCGGCTAGCAGCGAGAGAGCGACTGACATCCAGATCGCGTGCTAACATGCAGCTCACGCGATCACAAACTGTTGTGTATCGAAACCTAGTGAAATGCCCACCTTGACAGCAACGGTTTTATGCGTATAGGATGCCAAAAATATTGTCTAGGCAGGCAGCTCATTAAGCATTGAGACAGCCTATTATGTACAATGCTCGATTATTAGGCATTGTTTACAATAACACATACGGTACTGCCATGCTTTCTGGACATGTACCATGATTTTCCGTTGTGTTCTTACTTTGCTGTACTATGTAAATACTATAGTATGTGAATATGATAATCAACATTCTTTTATGTGTATATATTTGATTTGACGTAGTATTCCTGTCGTTTATTATCACAATATTATGGTAAGAGCAAAGCATAGCCTTTCTCTGTATTTATTTATTAATTATTTCTTCTTTATTATACAACAAATAATACATTATATAACAAAACCACTTTATCTTAATATGAGGTTGTTCTAACTACTGTAAAACGTTCATACATGGCCCCAAAAGGCTAGTGTCTTAAAATGAACTTGAAAATTAAGTGACCTGTATACATTGTATGAACCAAATGTCCCCTAAATGCTGCTTTTAGAAGTAAAAAGTGTATAATTATAATTAGCTGTGTATATGTCAGTGGACTGATCCTACTGTAATCTGATTGTCTGTTAGCAAGAGTGTTATTTACTTTTCCCACCCAGTGTCTTTATCTTCCTGTAATAAATATAGATCAGGGATTTGTGTGTTCGTTGGTGGCAATGCAGGTTTGTGTTCTTTGCTGCAGTTTCTGTTTAATCTGAACTCATCTAACCTAATCTAACGCAGGCAACAGACGCAGGCTGTGAGTGATAAGCGTGTGTCTGTGCATGGTTATCCACCACACATGCAGTCACACTGTCACAATATACTGCAAGCCATACACTGCTGTGCAGCAGCACTAGTGTGTTTATATCATGCCCAGTAATGAGGATTTTGATCTTTCTTTTTTCAGTGAACTGTCAAACCTTCTGCATGGATAGTTTACATTCTTGTCTTTTTTTGTGTTAGAATTTCTTGAGACAGCATGCAGATCTAGACTGCAGCAGTGCTAGTGTTACTTTAACACAGCCTGTTTCTGTTGTGTGTGTATTAGGGTTTTTAGTCTGTGAAAGACTATTTGATCAAACTGATTCGATCTTCTTTGAATGCAATGTCATGAGAGCCAACCAAATGAATGAGTAATTATTATATGCATGTTGACATTATTAAAATAACATCTATTTCCAACAACTTTAAAAATATACATTTATTAATTATTATATAGGCTACTTATAAAGTTTGTTCAGAAGTTAGTTTTTTCTGTTTTTGAAAGAAGTCTCATGTCCACCAAGGCTACAACTGTTTGAGTAAACTGTTTATTTGTTTGTTTGAAATCTAAATTGAAACATCATAAATGTCTTTACTGTCACTTTCGCTCAATTTAACGTGTCCTTTGCTAATTAAAAGTATTTATTTTAATAAAAGTGCATATAGATAGATAGCGAGAGAGATAATAATAGAATTTAAATAATAATAGTAGTGTATTTTAACAGTAGACTCCTTGGCAACACACAACAATGGACAAAATGCCTATTTTTTTCTAGTTTTGAATAGAAAATAGTCCGGTTCTTTAGTTACAGAAGCTTCTCTACCTTCTCCCATGAGAAAACGTGAAAATGGTTTATCATTGTCCTCAGTACCAAAGGGGTTTTTGCTTCTAGGTACAGCTAGGAAATGCAAATGCTAAATTTGCAATTGTGTTTGAATTTTGATCATAATATGCTTCTATAAATGACAGTGTCTGGCTTTGAACCTCAAGCATATCATTTTCATTATCTCTTTCTCTTGTTGCTAAATTTTTGGTGCATTCCTAAATGAAATGTTCACATGTTATTTAATGCTTGTGTATCTGACCTAAACGGCTGTGAATTGGGCTTGTAACTAAGCTCTCAGTACTCACTTCCAACACAAGTCCCACAGCTGTACGCTTGTGCCTTCTAAAGGGGGCTTTAGGAGGGAAGAGGTGAAGGCCTGCGAACAAGAGGCGTTTAAGAGAAGATACTCTCTCTTTGAGTTATATGAGCCTTGCAGGTGTTGGACTGCTGTAATTTGGGCCAGTTTTGATTGTTTGGTCATTGCAGGTGCACATTACTCAGTCACAGCCAAACCCAAACCCAGATCAGATTAATGAGTTTCAAACACACAAGCCATTCTTTTCCTGTCACAGTTACACAAATGACATTCATTTATCAGCTCAAAAATTCTCAATAAGGTCTTTTATTCTGTACAGAACATCCATTCTGCCATTTGATCGACACTTTGCGGAGCGAACAATATGAAGAGCGGCGATATTTCAACCTACAGAAGCTGAGTGATGTCAGATACGGTGAGTTCCTCAATGCTTTAATGGAATTTAATCATGCACAGATGCAAGTGACATCACTTGTTTAAAAAAAAAAAAGTGTAATTACACTCAATGGATTTCAGATGTAAAAATAAAGAGATGTAAAATAAAGTCTTGCAAAAATAATAACAGGCTCTTTCTCTTGTAGAGAAACTGCCATTCTGTATGCGGGTTCTCCTGGAGTCTGCCATCCGGAAGTGTGACGGGTTGTACATAAAGACGGACGATGTCTCCAGTATTTTGGATTGGCAGACGCAGCAGAACCAGGCCGAGGTTGCGTTCTCGCCCGCCAGGGTTCTGCTACAGGATTTTACGTGAGTAATCGACTCAGCCTGCATGATTTGGGGGAAAAAAACATAGAATTTTTTCCCTGATAAAAACTGTGATTGCTATTTAAGGGTGTACTCACACTAGGCGTTTTGAACAGTGCCTGAGCGCGTTTGACCCCCAAAGCTCGGTTCATTTGACTAGTGGCGCGGTTCGTTTAGCCGTCCCTGGCTCGGTTGGAAGAGGTGGGCTCGGGTGCGGCACGCATGTGGTGTGAGCGCTAACTGCGCCGGAGACTCAAAGACTCAAAATAATAATAAACCACAAAGTTAACAAAACGATGCACTCCATTGTGCTGAGCGAGAGCGCTTCTCTACTCCCTTCACGTGCTATCGAAAACTTCATATTTCCTACTTATGAAGTCGTGATTACGAGCTCGTTGCATTCAAGTGATTTGTTGTCAGAAAGAATACAAATGTAATATTCCATTGGTTGATAGCCATAAACATTCACCGCGCTAGATAGTCAGCTTGATACGATTCTGGAATTTTGGGCAAATACATGCTTATTTCACTGTTTATGTACA